GATAATATGTAGGTAAGATAGTGTTGAAATACGATTCTATCACATTCCCTGACCAACAATATACAACCTCTTAGTATAACTTTTTGGTATTGGCTCATAATTACGTTATTATAACATAACATAAGCTGTTCAACCTAAATGTTTATGCACAGGTCTCAGATTTTTTTTTTTTATATATAGATAGGACAAACCTTTTTCTTACCTTTGGCCAAATGAGAGGCAGGGCTGAGATTAACTGGATGAGAATAGCTACAACTGCTGCCAATGTTGGCATTTATTACACCTTCCATCATGGGCCTCAGGCATTGTCAGAGCACATAATTCATCAGCACTGATTGCTGATAAAATCATGACGCCCCATTTTATAAGAGAATAAAGTTGCTAGATTGCTGGTGTATTGCTTTTGATTATTCCAATGATTTCTGATGGGGACTCGTCTCAGCCCTGCCCCAAGTGGCCACAGCACCTGTAGAGTCAAAATAAAATGAGGTTAAGTGCTAAAGAAAGACACTTACCCCATGCCACGGCCCATGCCTCCACGCCCACGATGCATCATTCCACCTCGATCAAAGCCGTCCCGGCCTCTGCTATCCCCTGTCCCTGGGTACCTTGAAGAATCAGAGCCAGAGTAACCAGAACCTCCGCTCTGGCCATCCTGTCTGTAATTATCTACAAAAGCATGAAATGAGATGAAAGTATGTTAACAGTGATATTAAACTGAACTATATCAATGCAGATTAAAATACAGCAGTTAAGCAAAGCTTACTGTAATGGTTAGACTGGTTGTAACTGGGTGGTCCACCTTGCTGGCTGTACTGGTTGGATGGAGGCTGCCCATAGGAACCAGCAGCCTGAGGAGGGTAAGCAGGAGGAGCCTGTTGCTGCTGCTGGGTTGGTTGCTGGTACCCCTGCTGCTGGCCATAGCTGGCCTGCTGGGCCTGGTAGCCAGGCTGTTGCTGGCCATATGCTGCTGGCTGGGAGTAGCTGCTTTGGTTGTAACTTGTCGGCTGGCTGCTAGCATTGTAACTGATAAAAACAAAGAAAGACAAAAAGATAAGTAGGTCCTTTTAGATTCACTTGTTATTTGGTTCCTAGCTGAGGTGTACAAACCTCTGTGGTGCAGTGGGAGCAGCCTGCTGGCCATATCCAGGGTACGCAGACTGGGCAGTATATCCTGGCTGAGAACCGTAAGACTGGGAGGCAGCTGGAGCAGCAGCAGCTGGAGTGCTGTCATAACCACTGGCTCCATAGCCCTGGGTTGACTGGGAGTAGCTATGAGTGGTAGACTGGGCGGCGGGGTAGCCAGCTGTAGAAAAAGAAAGAAAGAAAGAAAACCAGGGAAAAGGTTACATTCAAATGCTCAGGCATCATTTCCTTTAAATGACATGCTGCAAGTACACAGCTGTTTGGCCCAATTTTGTGCTGTCCACCCCCGGCCCAGGGCGTGTGGTCGGGGCCAAACGTCTCCGTTTTATCAACTGACCTGATGCTGGCTGGGCATATGAAGACCCATACTGTTGCTGCTGCTGAGGGTATCCTCCAGCAGCAGGGGTTGTCTGGGTGTAAGTGCCGTCAGCTGCAGCAGGTTGGGCATAGGATCCGTAATTCTGTTGACTATACCCCTGCTGAAAGAATAGAACATGGTTTTTAAGCTTCAGTAATTACATTACGCTTAAAGACTCATTAAACATGGATATTGATCTGTTTACCCATATGCCTTAACTGCCTTAATAAGACTATAGTGACAAGATTTCCCGTACTGGACTAACTTATGTTTGGATTAGACTTAAAATCACCTCCTTAATGTTGCAAGCGCAATGTGTGCCTACATTTATGTTTCTATATTTGAATGAACAAATGCAGTATTTTAAAAGATCATAATCTCAATAAATCACTGGTCCATCACAAAGCACTCTACAACAATCAAACAACTACCCTCCATGTTAAATCTCACCTGTGCAGACTGTCCATAGCTTTGTGAGGGCTGGGCAGCGTAAGAGGCATACCTGTAAAAAAGTAAATAAATCAATGTTTAGCCAAACAACATATGGTGCACCCTTTGTTTACCAGTGTGTGTTTGTCTGGATTGTAGTTTATAAATCTTCTTTAATCCCACCTACATGTATTACATATATTAAACAATCTGATTAACACATTTCCTAAATAAACGCCTGGATATATACAGAGTCCTTTCTCAGGAACCATATTGATCACTGCTCGATTCCTTTATCTCAGCAGCAACACTGATGCTTAATCGATAGCATTACTTAAAAACAACACTTCCAATAACGTTAGTAAGTTAATTGAAGACTCTTACCCTGGCTGGGTGCTGGTTTGACTGTAGGAGCTGTAATCTGTTCAAAAGAAAGAGGTTAAAAGTTGATTAATGACTGCACAACCTTTGCGCGCCATCAGCGCACCGACCCGTCGTTAGCTCGCCATTCAACTACACAACGCTCACTAGCGTAAGCCATTCATAAAACACGACGATGCTGCAGAAATAACCACGAAATGTAGGAATTATCGCCACGTGTGGATTCAATCTGTGGTAACCTGGCGTTCATTTTCGACCTCGGTTCGCAGAAGTAATAAAATCAACCGGTAAAATAAATAAATTAAAACAACGACTCGATGAGCTAACGTGACTAGGCCGTGTGCGTAGCCGCTGAGCTAACGCTAAGCGACATTCGACAATGCTCCGATATTAACCAAAAACACGGATTACGCCGACATGCTCCCTTTTAAAAACAAATCCAATCACTCAATTGCTCAAATCGTATAACACAAATTTCTCCAGAATCAGCGTTAAAGTTCACAATTCTCCACTCACCCGGAGCCGACGCCATTTTAGTGTGTCTGTGCGTGCAAGACGACTGGAGCGAGCTGGCTGCTGGAGAGAGCTTCTTCTCTTCGACGGGACCGCGAAATCTCGCGAGATTACAGTTGTGACGTTCGCCAACGAACCGAATCCATGGAACGGCTCTTTGAAAGGAACGCTGGGAACCGAATCACTTGTTGAGAGCCGTTCTTTTTTTCGTTCTTTTTCTTTTTTTTTTCGTTCTTTTTTCTTTCTTCGTTCTTTTTCTTTTTTCGTTCTTTATCTTTTTTCCGTTTTTTTTCTTTTTTCGTTCTTTTTTCCATTTTTTTTTCTTTTTTCGTTCTTTTTCTTTTTTGTTTTTTTTCTTTAATTTTTTTTAAATAGCTGTCACGCACACAGTATGCACTACACACACACAAGCTCCTCCTTTCGCTTTTTAAATCAACTTTATTATAGTTTACACATATAATAGATTACATAGACAAGGAAATTGCTTCAATAAAATCTTGTAAAGTGCAACTCCACTGAGACTGAAAGCATGCACGACAAGGGGAGGAGCACAGCAGAGTACACAGGTGCTAATTTGATATGAACATTTCACATGACTTCATCTGAGTTGTCAGTACTGCAGCTACAATGAGCCAAAGAAAGCGCAGCAGCATTTGGATGCACTTTTTGGACGAAAGAAACGGCAAAGCAAAGTGTAACATCTGTCAAAATAATATTTCTGGGTCAACAGACAATTTGCATCGCCATTTAAAAACTCAACACACGACAGTCAAAGTGGTGGAGGGAAGAAGAGGATCGACTAAGATAAAATGGGTTACCCCCTTAAAAATAAATCAATATAAAAATGAGCCAGTTATTTGAACGGCTCTTTGAAAGGAACGGCTCCTCAAGATCCGACTCCCTTCAAAGAGCCTTAAATCCCATCTCTACACGAGAATGTACGTGACCTCGTTTTGAACAGTGATAGAGGTCCTGAAAGGGTGTTCATTCATTACAATAGGTAACTTAGTCCGCCTGTTAGTGGAGACATTTATTAAAGCATAAAGGCTTAAAGGGGCCAGAAGGAGAGGATCACCATAACCGGAGCTCAGCGGGGGATTATATTAACTATATAGAGGGGGGGAGGTAAATAAATCCAGGTAAAATATGAACCAACAATTTTTAACTGAAGGGTCCCCTAAAGAATATTAGAAAATATCAGTGGTGGAAAGTATAGGTGTAGATTTATACACTAGTACCACACTTCTGTACAATTTTGAGGCAGACCATCTGTTCTTTACTTTAGTATTTCAATTGTATGCTTGGCTTAATACTCCACTACAGTACATACTGAATACTTGAATTTCCCTCGGGATAAATAAAGTATCCATCTATCTATCTCTATCTACAGGGAAGTATTGGTTTTACTCTGATACACTTATTTGGCAGCTAGTTACTTTTCAGATGAAGATTTTACATTAAAAAGACATATAAACTGGTAAAATACAATGCATTGTAAAAGATTAAACCGGAGGAAATTTTAGAGACATTTTCAAAAAAAATAATAATACAAATTTATGTAGCAGAACTTTGTTTTGTTTTATTTCTTACCTTATCAATCATCTCACAACCCTTGTTATACTTTATCTGGAGACCTACTGACTCCTATGTTGAGAACCACTGGCCTAAACAACCAAACAAACAAAAACCTAACAATCTAATAATTTAATATATATATATATTTTTTTTTCTTCTGCAGAACAACTAGTTTTGCATTCACTTTCTGTACTTTTGAATAAATTATACTATTAATGGAGAATTTTTACCCGTAGTGGAATATTTTGACAGTGTGGTATTAATACTTTTACTTTTTATTTTGATACTTCTTCCATCACTAGGAAATTAAGAGTTATGCCTGCCACAAGTACCAGAAGTTTATAGTGACATCTTCATGTTGCTTTTTTTGTGTGACCAACAGTCCTAAACCCAAATATATTAAATTTACTAACACATAAAGCATCTAGCAAGCAGAAAAAAATACCTAAACAATGAATCAATTATCAGTATTGTTAGCAGTTTATTTTTTGTCCACCTTTTGTTAAATGTAAGCCAGCAGTGTGTCCAGTAGGTGGCGCTGTTGCTCCTCTACAGTTTTCCAACTGCCCCTGAACACACCGAGTAAGACGACGTGACGTACTGCGGAAGTGGACGTCCACTGAGCTCTAAATGTTTTCACGCCGGGATTTGTCTTCTATAAAAACGTTTATTACTCGCGTATTAAGGGCATAGTCATTTTACAACAGCAGTCAAACGCACAGGGCTCCAGCTCCCACTCTTAATATAGTTAGAACAGGCTTATATACCTGTGGTTGTGCTTGTTATGAGCACAAACAGATGCTTGTTTACCAGAATTATGCAGCAAAAGGACAAGTGAGTGTGGAAACTGCAGGTAATCCTAAATAATGCTTGATCGTGTATTGTCAGGATGGTTTTGGTTTCGATCAGATCGCCCTGGCTTCTGTCTGGGAACATCTGTATTGATAACACTCATGCTGCTGTTGTACACTGGGAGCATACAGGCAAGTCTCAGCATAGGTCCAGGTGGAGACTTCCCAGGGGTCAGAGGTAACTGTGCTTCACAATGCATGGCTTTTACATGGAAAATCTGATATTTCAGTGTACATAACGCATTTTTCTCCCCCTCCTCAGATGTGTTCCTGTACGCGTTCAGTCATGATGAGCTGCCCTCTCTGCTGGTCAGTGTGGCTCTCCTGCTGCTGGTTGGACGGTGTCAGGAGCGTCGCTGGGGGACAGTCGCCTTCCTCGCCGTCTCCATCCTGACAGTGACCATATTACCTCTCATTTACACCCTGGTCCTCTTTGTCGGTGGAGGCGAGGCAAGTCGGATCAGTGGTTACTCTGCCATCCAGCTGGCTCTGTTCACAGCGCAGTGTCGTCAGGTGACACAGAGGAGGCTGCTGAGGTGTTTGCCAGTCTGGTTTCTCCCCTGGCTTCTTCTGCTGATTGGTCTGCTGCTGCTGCCCGGGACACCCGCCCTGCTTCACTTCTGCGCAATATGCATCGGACACAACTGTATCCTTCCCTGTGTATACAGTCATTTGATGCATGTACAAAAACACATTCTCCAACAAAAGCAAATGTGAATGTATCTTAGTTTTGATGGGTGCATAGAAACCCCCTACACACCCATTGTAAACCCACACAGGGGTTGTATTTATTTTGCTTGATTAGACCTACTGAGGACTGTTACAGTGTGTGCTTACTTTACATATATCTCACTTTCCTGTTACTGTTGTTGAACTGTAAGGCTTTAAGACAACACACACCTTTTTCATTCTAATTAGTACATAGAAACTGGTGATATTATGTAATTCTGAGCTGCTCAGCTTCAGTTTAACTTCTAATGTCTAATCAACACATTTGTAAAGTGTGCTGGGCTGTTAAAAGGCAACACATGTAATTGCCACCCGGAGCAGTGGTCCCTTTTTTTGCTGTATTTAATCATGACTAAAAACTTTTTTTTAGTTTCAGGCCTTGTGTTGAATTAAGGAAAAATCAAGACATTTAAAATATAGATATATAGATATCTAGATGACCCATAGTGTAGGCCTGTGATTTACTACTATGTGTTTGAGCTGAAGTTAGGTGCTCTCCCCCCACCAAATCTATAATGAAGTGTATTTCCCTATAAATAACACAATGCTTAAGTCTTTTGTTTTAAAAATAACCCTTAATATACCTCTCAGATAATCAGCCCTTCATTGGGACGTTACAGGAGCTGGAGGAGACGATGGTCTTGGATTTTATCCCTGATTGGGCATATGTTCCAACTTCAGCCCGGTTCAGATTGCCAACCCACACTACCTCACAGAGGTGTGATTCATCTTATTCCAAGTCTCACTGAATATTCAAACTCACCACCTGTATGCATGACAGTGGCAGATTTCATAATTTCAGCTTCATCTGTTGTCACAGATCTAGATCACCTCCTCAGAGAATGCCTGTAGATCAGGCAGCTGCTGCCCCCATGAGGGATCCCTCTGCTGTAAACCACCACCAGTGGTTGGATCCAGTGCCTGCCTGGCTAATAAGAGAGTCTGCTGCACAGTCTGAGGCCGAGGTGTTGGAGGAACAAATGCTAAGGGCAGGGATACTGGCGTCATTACAGGATGCTCCTGACGACCCCGGTGCAAAAGTGGAGGTATCCAAATCATCAGTTTCCTCTCTGCGGTTAGTAATAATTTAATGTCACGTAGCATTTTTTTGTGAATTGGTGGATATGTTTGTTTTTTTTTTTTTACTTAAAACTCTGCATTTTATTTCCCATACAGGTTTTATTTGTAATATCAGGTACTCATTCAGTTTCCAACATTTTTCCTCTCAGACTCCAGCAGCTGGAGAGGATGGGCTTCCCCACAGAGAAAGCTGTAGTAGCACTAGCGGCCTCTAAACAGCTAGATGGCGCCATTTCTCTGCTCATTGATGACAGCGTCGGAGAACAGACTGTGGTGGTGTCGAAAGGGAAGAGCCCTCCGCCACCGCAGAGCACCTAGACGAGCTCATTCTCCTGGACTGAGACTGTTTGCTTTTGTGCAGTATACTGGACATACATTATGCTTGGGTTTTGCTGAGCTTTAATATTAGATTTTCCCTGTGGGCTACTTATAGAGCTATTTTAATGATCACAATTCCTGTGGGAAAAGTGGCAGGAAAGACTTGAGTTGCTCTTTTTCCAGACTTACCAAGTGTAGATGCAAACTTGACAGCTTTGGAGGCAGTTTCTTATCATAAAATGTACATCGGAGAGAGAGAGGATGTCATTTATTGTAATCATGTTTAATAAATACTGTTGTAACACAAATGAAGAGAGGTGACATGTTTAAAAAACAATGAACATCATTTTATTACATCGATCATCTAGACAGGATTATCTTAACACAATGACACATTTGCAAGAAAAAAAAAAGGTTTGAAATATGAAATGGTTACACAACAGCATACAAAATAAACTACAGTTGATCAATTTAAATAGTTTCACAATAAGTTTGATATAAGATGAAAAAACAATTATCTAGTCTTTTCATCAGACAGTTTAAGCAGTTTACCAACACAACAGTGGTAAAAATATGTTCAAGTTCCATTAACAGTTTTGCTGTTTCCTTTGTGTGTGTTAAAGATCTAGAAATAGACAGTCTGCAGTTTTCATTTCAACATTTGTTTTGTAATTATTTCGTATGTTTTTTTTAAAATCATTTATGACAGTTTTCAATGATATGCAAACAAACCCAAATACAATTATTTGTGCTTTTTTGCACAGATTAAATGTTAATATACTATTATTTATCAGCCTGCGCTTTATAGGGGAAAAAACACTCACACCAGAAAACTACAAATCACTGTTAGCAACACATATCTCAGTTAGAGTGGAGATGACTTCATCTTTTTAGTGCACTATATAACACTGAGTTAAACAATATGATAGAAGTATAACAAAATTAATACTAGAACAAGAGGTTGGTTTGTGTACTTGTGTCCTGCAAACTGTACATGCGCAATATACTTAAATAGTGGAATCTCTTCAGATTGCAGTTACATTATGAAAGCAATACAAACTCAAATCCAGTCTAGTTCCTCACATCTGATTTCCTCCTTCAATTGATTACTCTAAATGACCCTTATTGTCCAGAACTGTTTGTAGCTCGACGAGCACCACAGAAGGTTCAGATTTTCCTTTTTTTTCAAACATGAACATCTTATTCTGAGGCTTTAGTTCTTCTGTAGCCAAAGAAATGAGACACAGAAGGAGCTGCTGGGTGTGTTATGTTAAGTGTTTGGTTATGATGATGGTTGAGGGGGAGGGGGGGGGGTCAAACTAGTTCTCAGGTCCAGATGGAGGAGGACATTGTGGAGTATCAGTGGAGTTTCCCTGAGGTGTCCCCCATCCTAAATCTGATTTAAAGCCCAAAGAGGGTATCAGATATGGTCTAAATCTGTTGCCGATGAGACCTATAGGAGGGGGAGTCAACCCAGCCTGTGATCCTCAGGGTGAGCGGAGGGGGGTGGGGGGGCTACTTCCCTCGAACCTTGGTGTTGGAGGACTGAGGAGAAGCAAGTCGATATGGAAGCGCACCTGCTCGCTTATCTCTGTAGAAACTAGGGGAGGCTGTGCCAAACGGTTCATCCCCAGACCCTAGATCAGGCTCTGTTGAAGAAAGACAGCAGTTGGAACGGGGCCTCCCTGTCCACCAGTGTGTGTGGACATCTGCACTCTGTGGTCCTAATCCAAATCTACTCTGATGTAGCTGCTAACATGGAGGTGTCAGGAGTGGGGTTTTTTTTTTATGTTAAAATCAACTAACAGAATGTTTAAAGGATTTAACCTAACCTTATTTACTTGATTCTGCTGTAAAGGAGGAGCATCTGGTTAGTAGGGCTGCAACAATTATGTCAATTATCAATAAATGTGTCCATTCTATTATGATATTTTAATAATTATTCAAATATACTATTATTTTTAATAAAATGTCTTCAAATTCTGCAGCAAATCATCAAGCCAAACCAGTGATTGTTTGGTATTATTGCTTCATAAATGACTTAAACAGTTCATCCAATATCAAAATTGCAGCTGATTTATTTTCTGTCATTTGACTAATTGTCTTATTGACTTATCATTGCAGCACTACTGGCCAGACTAACATACTTAACATCCACTGGTGCCATTAACCTACAAAGCACGACTATTATACAAAAGATTAAAGCCCCTGAAAACTTATTATAGACTTATATTAATGACTAAATAACAATCACAGTTAAAGTTAAAAACAATCTTAGGTATTTTTGAGTTGAGTTTAACATTCAAAAACTCAGCTAATCTGCTTCAGCAGGACTGCGTGGGTGTGTTTTGATCAGATTTGACTGACAGTGCGGTGACATCACCGCCAAACAAAGTTAAACTGTCTCTGATTTTGGATTTAAATGTTTGCTAAATCCACCTGAGCCCACCCACTTTAAGCAGTGAGAAGAGCACCAAGAAAATGCACAAATACAGAAAATATCTCATGTGAAATTAAGACCCAAAATGTTAAGGTTTTGTTTCACGTAGGACCACAGCTGCTCATAGTAATGAAGCTGATTGAGTAAATACGTTTTTGCAGGGCGCTTTAAAGTAATATCTGCACTAACAATCAATGGTTCCGGTTACATACCCAACACAGATTCAAAAATTACCC